ATTTTAAAGTTAATTTGTTTTTTGTTGTTTTGAATCCAAAAAAATATTTTTGGGTGCACTGATTGGCCAAACAATCTCACGTGATCCTCTGCAGCAAGTGATGGCCAAGCGGGGCGTGTCATCACGACTTTACACAACTGTGTCTTTACCTCCACAGCAGAGGCTCTGCCGAACCCCTGAGACCGGCTCATCAAACCCCAAGGGTTCAATCGAACCCACGTTAAGAACCACTGACATGGAAGATGCAAAAAGCTAAAAAAGTTTATTAATAACACTTAAATGACTCAATTTCAAATTTTTACTATTGATTCATTTTGGCAAAACATTAGCAGAGATCCAAAACATTTGGGAGATGCGTACAAACCACAAGTACATATTTTATGTTTTTTAAAAGGTTTACTATGAGTAAACAGCCAGTTACAACTAACCAAGAACAAATATAACCCAAACTGTTGAACCTGCAGCTGCAGTTTAATCTTGTCTATCCTTTGCCGACACCCTCAGTGTTTTCCCAATTACTGCTCTTCTCTACACTCAACTCTCTTCCTGTTACTGTTTGCCTCCTCTCTGMTTATTCTGGCTTCTTTTAATCATCCTCTCTGTCGCCCTTCACACATCTTAATCCAAAAGCTTTTCAGGGGGTGAACTAATCCACTGCGCACTTTCTTTAAAATATGAGACGCAGAGAAGCAAAAGTGGAGATGAAAGAACGGACTCATCAGCAGGGAGGAGACTTCCGTTGTGGGGTAGATACCAAATGTAGAGGAAACCGGCTGCAGTACAGGTTCTTCTCTCTCTCACCCCACCACAGCAGGGGTATTTTTATTCTAGTGGCGTACTACGAAACAGATTTTGTCACGTGGAAAGGGGGGGAAAGTGAGGTGAGAGAAGATGTGATGATGAATCTGAGCAGCTGTGACGTGAGCAGATATTTATAGAACACGGTTCAAACACTGCATTTAAAAGGCCTGAAGGGCTCACAGTTAAACTTCGGGAAATAAATAAGACAAAATGGAGTTTATCCTTACTGTTAGTCAGGGGAGTTTTAGTACTCAGGTACGGATGTATTCGTGCCTGGATCACTGATGCTAGTGCAAACCTCCAAAGAACAGGCAGGCACTGCAATGCACTTTTACACATAACTGTACAAGAATTAAATCTGCATTTCCAACATTTTAGCTGTAATTGCATTTCGACACCATACAGAAGGCAGCTGCTGTTGTGTCACTCCTCCAGGTTTGAGGCAAAAATCTTAAATAAACTAACTAAATGTCCATCGCAGGAAACAATGACAGTAGTGGTCCTTGGAAGGAATGCAGAGCATCATGTTAAAGTTTTGAACAATGATCTCATGCRATCTGTTGCCTAAAGTATGGGATAGGATACCACACAAACCTGCAACATCAATCAAATTAATGGACTGGATCATTTTTGTGTGTGTGTTTTGCTAACGTTGATCAGTTGTGGTTGTAATTTTCAATCAATATAACTCCAAAAATGATCAGAAGTATTGTCTTGATGCATCTTAGTAATCCAGGTAAAAAAATCAAAAAGAAAAAAATTGTGTAGGTCTTCTGGATGGGTTCTTCTCTAATGAAACGTTTCGTTAGAGAAGAACCCGTCCAGAAGACCTACACAATTTTTTTCTTTTTGATCAGAAGTATTACTCTAATTCTGATACACTGTGTATAATGGAAATAAAAACAGAATGCAATGATTTGCAAATCTCATAAAATTTGCAAAGAAACACATTTAACATAAAAAGTGTAATCTAAATTGAAAAAAAAGTGTAAACTAAAATCCACTGTTTTGTGGATTGATGTATGTACCTGTTGCTGCTACTACACCTGAGTTTCCCCGTGCGGGACAATAAAGGCTGTTTCTATTCTATTCTATTCTATTCNATTCTATTCTATTCTATTCTATTCTATTCTATTCTATTCTATTCTATTCTATTCTATTCTAAATAAGACATTTAATGCTTTTAAATCCTTCTTTTCCACATTTAAATCATTCAGTTGGGGTCTAAATAAAGTGGAACTGCAATCATTGTAACTCCACAAGCCCCTCTTTCACATATTTTCTGAGGTGTGTCTCATAAGCTGTCTCTTTAAATCCAAATGAGAAGCTTCACACTCTGCCCCCTCCAGCTTCCAGAGTGGTCCATTCTGGTTTGATAAAGGGGCATAACAGTAAATAGTGGCACAGAAACAATTTTTTTATTTAATTAAAAGATGCCAACAAGGAAATTCAACCTAGAGACACTCACACAAAGAAAAKCAGCAATTAGAAAGTTTTATTTAACATTAAAAAATTAAAAGTTTCGGTACTCAGATCCCTGCAGAAGATGTGTGTGCTGTGAAATGCAATAAACATGGATGAACAGCTTTGGATAGACACGTCTYCCCCCCCGGGCCTGGACACTGGTGGTGGATGCTGAAGAAAGGAAGGAAGCCTGAAGGAGCCAAGAGAACGAGGGTGGAGACGGGGAGGAGGTGGGTTGAAGCTCGGCTGATGAGTAGATGCAGCCATGGATGGAAGGTCTTATTTATAAAGACTTGTCTAATGCTGAAAGGTGACGGCAGAAGCACGTGATGCAGCGACTGGACGATGCAGGTGAGGCTGAAGCAAGTCTTCCAGATTGAACTCATGCCTAGGCTTCATTTGTTCATCCAGCCTTACAAGTTGGAGCCAGAGTCTGACCCAGAACGAGAGGAGAATGAAGACCGCCAAATTGCATTTGGTAAGTCCAGACCTTTTTTAGAAGTTCTGTTTTAGTGTGATGTTCCGAAAACTGAGAGAAAAATGAACAGGTTGACGCAAACATATCTTCTATGCAGCAGCTGGAGAGACTAAATTCTAATTTTTCTGCACTCCAAGTACACAACAAAATGCATTTAGCAGCTTAAAAATTGGATTTTAAATGATATGTCCCCTTTAAATGAAACAAACTTTAAAAATGCTACAATATAAAAAAATAAGGTAATTCTGAATTTAATAYGGTTTTTGAAAATAATTTGTCTGAGTCAGTTGTTAGTGAAGCGAAGCTACAACGATTGACTCGGCTGATCGGTGGTGAGTATTTTTATACTCACCGTATAGCGCAAGCAGTTAGTGTAGCAACCCAAGCATCGTTCAAATGAAAAAGAAAAAAATCAGCAGAAACATATTAAACTGTCTAACGTAAAAATGATGTGGTGTAAAAATAATATACGCATGTAGCAATTAAGTAGGAAACATTTGAGAAAAGAATCCATGAAAACACGCTGGTTCTTGGAAAAACATTCTGATTGTTGAAAGGTCTTTTGAGTTTCTGAACCACTCCTTTAATATCAATTACCTGATTCCACCATGAACATTCTGCTTTTGACTTTCAAAGTGCTCTTTATCTGATGTGTGAAAATAAATCTCCTTTCCACACTGATAAAAAAACACAAAGGCAACATTACAGGATTAAATTAAACCTGAAACAATCAACTGATATTGGTCTAAATTTGGTTTAGATAATCCAAAGTAAGATTTTGAGTAATTCATTATTAATTTCAGTAATTTGTTCACCCCAAACACAATAACATGATCTAATATTTTTCACTGCGAAGGTTTGCAGCATTTCTCCTCATATTTCTCTTTAAATTGTAAATCTTTGAGTTTGTGAAAATAATAAAGCCGGGGATGGTTCCCACTGAGTATTTCAATAATGCAACAGCCTTCCACAGCCAACACATCGATGTGTGCAGAGCTTATGTGCTCTGACTGGAGAAAAAAGCAGAAGATATGCTGATCTCTGTTTCCCTCTGAGTAACTCAACAGGAAGGTTATGACCAGGGCAGGTAGCTATAGTGGCCATTAAACCCCTACAGAAACAGGAARCTGAAACTCTGCCCTGGAGCAGTCTGCTTTCCCTACAATGACTCACAGCTGTAGGCTGGATGCTTTATAAGACACAAAACTGCTCTTCTTTAAATGTCCTAAGACCCAAACAACTGTTTTGGCATGAGAGCAATGTGACAAGTTCCCGACCTTTGAACAATCTTAGGAGGACGTGGAAACACAGTATTTACTTACTAATGGTAAATTCCAAGAAGCAATTAAAGTTAATGGGCTTGTTAATCTGAGCTGACGCAGGCTCCGCTCACCTCTGATTTATTTTTGCTTAACCTTTTCATCTATGTTCTTTTCCACCTGCGATCTTTGCAGTAATAGAAAATTATGATTGCATAACCTAATCACAATAATCGTACAGAAAGGTTAATGATGGCTGGAGTTACTGATTTTGACACAGAGTGATAGTGAAAAGACAAGATGACTAAGGTAATTGGCGGCCATGTTAAATGCGTGTTGTTTTTTTTTTACCACTGGGTTCCAAACAAAACTATTGTCATTATGGTTCAAATCATCTAAGCTGCAAAGATTTAGTCGTAGTTTTCTTTGTTTTTTATTTTATTGTATTTTTTTTGCATTGCTCTTTTATTAGGGTTTGTGGAATTGTGTGCATGTATCTCTCTCGCAGTCCTGCCACAGCATTTCAGATGAGCTGAGGTTTGAACTTTATCTCGACCACCTGTGTTTTTTTTCCCTTTTTCAGCCATTGCTTTTGTGCACATTTGCGTCTGTACCTGGGATTATAGCCCTGCTGCATTTTCTAATTTTAGCCAACCTTCATGAATCGGACAGATGGCCTCACATTTCACTCAAAAATAATTTGATGTACAACTACAGTTCATGGTTTATTCAGTGCCCGGGTCCTGTGGCTCCAAAACAAACCCAAATCATCATCTCTCCACTCCTGCTCGACAGCCCGTATGAGATGCTGATGTGCTGTGTTAGCTGTTCCCCAAACGTGGTGCAGTACATTATAATCAATCATCTCCACTCAGGTTTCAGCTAAGCATGGGCCAGTTGGGAAAAAAAAGGAAGAAAAAACTCTTTTGGTTTTGTCGTACAGTTCCTGCAAAATGAGCTGTTTTAGGAAGTAGTCAGGGGCAGGATTTCACATAAATGGAAAACAACACCCTGTGTTTTTAAAGGCAATGTTATCCTAAATAATATTGCACATAAGGCCTCCTGAAACATCAATATAAATGGTTGGAGAAGGTTTGAAGTTTCTCACCATTCAAGGCAAAAACACAGTGTGATGGGACGATCATGCATGTTCTCCACTGACACTTGGTTGTTTGTTGATGATGTCGGAGAAGCAGCTGGATAAACTGGAAATGATGCAGAAAAACTTATAGAAAAACGGACAGCTCTTTATCATGAGGATGAACAATGATCAAACACTTGCAACAAAACATCTCTTGGAATTTTATAAGTTGGAAGAAATGTTGAATGGGTTATAGTCAAAGCATTTTCCTAACCTAWATCGACATGGATTTCACCAGCTCAAGTCACAAATCTCCACAAACAGACAAACTAACTCAGCTTGAGAGAACAACTGCAGAGGAGGAAACTGTATCGCCCACCACCATTAAAGATGGACAATCATTTAATTTTCCAGGTTTGTGTCTGAATGTGAACACTGGTTCATTCGTTTTTCTTCGCTAACTGAGAATTAAACAATGAAACTCCCAAATCATAGTCATTGAATGTACAGGGTGAGTCAAAAGTTTCAGGACACCTATTTATTTCAGAAACAAAAGGAAAAATAAAATGTATCTGAAATTCCCACCAAGTGTTTTTTTAGTCTCTGTCCAGAACATGACTGTCATCTTGAAGGCTGCCATATTCGTTCAGAGTCAAGTTTTTCCAGTGGGAAGGTGGTCATGCAGCACATCAGTAGTCGTGTTTCCATTCAACTTTAATTCGAATTTTGAGCGAATTTTTAAAAATTTGCAAAAAGGAAAAAAAATGAAGAAATGCGAATCAGACGTGTTTCCATCAACTGGATTGAAGCGAATCAGTTACGTCAGACGCATGTGTGTAGAAAACAGGAAGTAAAAGTCGCATATCAGGACCATGGACAGAAGTTATCAGGAATGTGTTGCTACTGTCTGGAAAGTTGTAATTATTCTGTCATATCAACTAGTTTTGGTGATGTTACATGCTGTCTGGAGATGTAGAGAAAGAAATGCAGTTCTCTTCACGTTACGGGAATAAGTGAGAAGACCGACAGCGGGAGGAGAGTCCAGCTGCAGTCGTGGGTGCAATCGCTCTGATATCGGTACCGGTACCGTTCAGACAGCGAGAACAGCTGATCAACCATGTGAGGTAAATATTCGCTACGTCAGAACTTATTCGACAGTTGTGTTTCCATCTCTCCTTTTGCACATAAACTCTTTTTCAAAAAAACCCAAAAACCACCTCAAACGAGCATATCAACTTCTTTGCGGATTAAGTTTTATCGAATCATAMCGTTTCCATTCCATTCCATTTTAATGCGCATTTTGAAGTATCAAAATGCGCATTAAAAAAAACATTGATGGAAACACGGCTAGTGAAGACCACATTTGTCCCAGAAATGGTTTGGCACAATCCGATTTGCAACATGTCTTGTGATTCAGAGTTACTGTATGTCTGTAGTGCTGAACACAGACACGCCTGTGACAAACAACAAAATTTCTGAGCTGATAACTTTGGAACCACAAGATATTTTGGACATCTGACTGTAGCCATCCATTTCTGAAACAATGTTGGTCTTCTTTGATATGCCACATGACTCTTTTCCTGTTTGAACAAATATGGCAACTTTCAAGATGGCGACCATGTTCCAGAGATTGTCTAAAAGAGAGACCCCTTCACCTCTTACTTGATTAGGTATATTGTACATCAAAACCTGAGTCATCTCATTTCAAGACGGCTGCAACAGCTGATCAAGCATTAAAATATATAAATGGATATACAATGTGAATGTTGTGCATAATCAGATAAAAGTTTGGTGTGATAGCAGGTGAGAGTCAACCTCAACACACACTTTAAAGGCTAAGAAACTGCACACGAGCTTTGCTTAAACTTACAGCAAGTTGGTGAGCAATTTATGTTCCTTCAAAGAGTGTTGTTGAACTGAAATAAAAAAAGTGTCAGTGTTTAAATTATATGATGGTTATGAATATGGGGGGAACGAAGAGGGGTTCTGGTTTGTAGGAGAGGTGGTGATAGCTGCACAGAGGTGTTCTGTAGCGCTGCGAGCACAGTGCAGGTGACAGATTGTGTTTCGGTCTGCTGCTAGAAGGATGCCAGCCAGTTTGGACCAGGCATGGCCAGAGTGCCTGTCCGAGCCAAATTAGAGGCAAACCTGCTGGGTAATAATAGAATAAGTTGTAAGTAATGTAGAGAGAATAACACCTCTTGAGCATTGGTTGTATACAAAAACACAGGTGACATTGACTTTGTTGTAGGGGAGACAGTAATTGGAGACAAGACATTGATTTTGAAAGCAACATTTACTCACACTGTGCATAATATATTGTGAATAGTATTTTCACAAAAGCTCACTTAAATCCTAAGCACCAGGTTGAATTGAGAATAGAGTAAAATTTACCTGCCTCTTCTTTAAACACTGCTTTTCATCCTCTCATCTTCTTGAGTGAAGAAGATGWGGGAAAACCCCTTTAATTTCCCTTCGACAACTGATCAGCATCTGTACGCCCTCATTTATGTCACACAGCAAAGCAGTTACCGTCTCTTTCATGTAGTCAACCCTGTCTGCCCGTTAGCAAAATACTATGCTACTTCAAGTGCCTCAATACAGTCTCTGTATTGCAATATCACATGAGATTCATGCATGTGACCAACATCTGTCTTGTGAGTCAGGCAAACAAGGACTCTAATGACTCTCTGTTGTGAGAGGCGTGTAATTTAATCTACATGTGAGTTTATGACATAACTGAGTTTCACATACAGTTTAAAAGGGTTAAATTGAAGCTCCCCAAATAGGGGGTGAAACATGCTAAATTATGGAATAGAACCCATGTTGTTGTTGTTGTTGTTGTTTTTACTGAGAGTAAACATAACATTTGTAGCGTATGGGAGTCCTCATTTTGACCTCTGACCTACAGACATATTTCAGTTTTGTGTAAAATAAAATTTTGAATTGAAGTCTTTCTTATGTAAATATAAGTGTTTAAATCAGGTTCAGTAAATTCAAATTACTTATTGATGCTAAAGGAGTATTTTTTTCAAATTTTCAGTGTTAACCTTTGGTTATTGTGGAC